GAGAACGCCTAGAAACCTTTGAAAATTACGCACAAAATTGGAGTCATGCGAAATGACTCAATAGTTTCTGTGATGAGATTAAAACTATTTTCAATTACCTTTTGATGGCGCTATAAGAATGAAAATAAACTTCAAAGTTTTTAAAAGTTTGGTCTGGTTACTAGCCTTCAATATCCTTTCAGTATATGCGTCATTGTTTCCAACAAAGGTCATGTCTGTTTTCCTAGCTGTTTTTATTATCTCTTTCCCGCCTTTGGCATTACACAGCGAGTTTTGAAAAGTAATTTTGTTCTTTGACGTATCAGAATTTTGCCTGCAAAAAGTACATCACGTATTTTCACTTTTCCTATCGACGGGAAATGGGAAAACTTGCTCTCCAAACTTCGAACATAAAAAATGTAAATACAGTAAGTTCTAGCACAACTTTAGTTCTTTCACGTTCTGCCCTTAGAATGTGACTACTTCTTCCGCGGCGGTTAGTCTCCTGACATATTCGAGAAAAATTACCTAAATTCGTATCAACTCTGATCTTGCGGATTAGGTATATACGAGCGTTGTGTTAAATAAAAATAAAAGTGAAATAATTTTGTATCAAGACCGTGTGGAATTACTGACAACCAGAATTTTAGAATCTATAATACTGTATTATTATCCAGTGCAAAAATCTGGAACTTCATATCGATCTTAAATTTGTTTTGCATCTCTTACAGAAAGCTCTTGCTAAATTAAGGACTTTTTATGTTCACAAGAATGTTCTCTCTAATGAAGTCCACCTGAATCTGTGCGATTCGTTGATGTTGTCTTCTTTGTTATATGGTGAACTTATATACTGGCCTGATCTCACTGCTAAAGGCAAACTTTCTATTGAAAAAACTTAAAACTCGTGTATTAAATTATCGTACGGTTTGAAAAACATGTCCACTTCAGCGATACTTTTTTCCAACACACATGGAAGAGAACGAGGATAAACTACATCATCCTCGAAGAACAGATCTAAACAATCGATTTCGGCTATGAAATATGCAATTTTTGTAGATAGGGAATATCCACTTTGTGACATTTAGGAGTTTGCATCCTTAAAAAGACAGTTAAAATAATATTCTTTAACGATTTGTTTAAGCACACTAGTTATTCGATCGTTGTCTGAATTTTGTTTACGTCATTCCGCAAATTTCCTCAATATATTAATGGAAGGGAGGGAATATCGGAAAAATACAATGAAGTAAATGAGCTTTAGGGGAGAATAGGGTAAATTGATAGGTGTTTGTTAGTGTCAGACAAACACATGGGAATAGTGTGGGAACCAGACATCGACCAAATTGTTAGGGTAAACAAATCTGTAATTCAGTAGCAATAGGTGCGCCGGTACATTAGTCATATACAGGGTGCTTCTAAACGGAAGGCATTGTTATATCAATTCCAATCAAAGACGAGCTATACAAAACATTATTTTGAGTTAAAGACATGTAGGCAGGCAGCAGCGGTGGCCGCAGTCGGTCTCCTGATCAGTCGCCGTGCGCTGTGCGGGTTCGAGTCCCGTTCCAGGAGAAATTTTTCTCTTGGCTATGGATGTTGTGATTGTCCGTAGGTGGTAGACGGTCTCTGACTGTCGAACTCGGAGGTACCATCTCGAAGGCGGAACCAGAATGTGTGCATGTTGCATGCACACGTGTTCCCTCGCCAGAGTCCGTGTCGCATTCCCCCTATAGCCCCACGGTACCCAATGGGTGCTTAGTCCTTCGTGGTAGTTGGAGTATAAAAAAAATGTTAACTTTACGAATATATGATCTCTTGGCAGAATTTATAAAGTAGTATACTCTATATACCGTATTTATTTTTTTATTATTCTGTCAAGTTTCTTGACACTTTGGAGCGTCGTCAGAAACTGTTCGATACAGAATATCAAGTTTTTGTATAAAATTTATGCTAATCCCTGTTCTGGTCCTCTAGACGTTCACGCCCGAATTACATCTGCAATTTCCACCCTTAAGCGAAGACGACCCATTACCACAGATTTATGATAGAGCCCATCGCCCATTAAACTGATCCTCTATTCCTTCTTCCCTCTCTAGGTGATAATGATTTTACCGTGTAATATAGTCCAGTCCGCATGGCCCAATTTATTTTGAAACATCAGTAGAAGTTAAATTATTACTGCGCTCACCACCATTGGATTTTACGTAATATATTTTTTTTAAAAGAAGGTTTATAGAAATGTTTACGCTATTAGGCAAATTTTATCACGAGTTTCTATCAGGTGTGTCTTCTATTTATGTTAATATGAAATGAACAAACAATTTTATGAAATAATTATCTGAAAGATAAGAGTTTTCTAGTTTAAGCTGCTTAAAATGTGTTTGGACTTCGTCTTAAATGATCAGAACGCAAAGAGAGGCAGGCAAAGGAAGTTTGTGATCTAATTATCAGCGCAACGACAAACTTACAAAAAAGAAGTTTGACGTGCTTTCCATCACTTTTGTTTTTTTACCCATAAATTCGCCGCCACTAGAAATGCTTTCAAAACCCACCAAGATTTTTCGTACTTGGCATAGGAGTAAATTTGTGTCAAAGTTTCTTCAAAATCAAAATGGTACCTGCTTTTAACTTGACCGACTACTGCGACAGGATAGACTGAAGGGAGTTATTCAGGTTTCTAAGATCAAAAGATTAGATGCATCCGGAGTCTCTTCTTCTATGTAACGATCATAAATGTAGTTAGTAGCGACGACGTCTTCCACAGCCACAACTGGTGATACACATAGTATATCTTCAGATTGAAATAAAATGGACCTAATTTTTTATGTCAATCTTTCATGAAGACTTGGGAGTTATGTATGAAAAATGATGATCATAGTATATAGATAGTCTTTTTTGAAAACCGCACAAGCCTACGCATTCTTGATTACATTTTGGATGACTTTTTGATAGACTAATGAATATTCTTTTTCAGCAGCTATACTTGGTTTGTTAGCATAAACCTTACTTTTTAGAAATCCATGCAAAATGATGCTTGTTGCAGTTAAAGTCGGCGATCTTGGGAGTCATATGACATCACTTCATAGGAGGATCAAACGCCGTAAAAACGTTTTTTCAAAACAATTCGTCGTTTCTCCAGATATGCGACATGTTGCTTTGATTTGCTGAAACCAGGTTAATTGCAGGTTAATTTGTGAAAATTTAGGAGCCACAAGGCCTTGCGGTATAATTCGGCAGTGCCAGAAGGGGCTTGATTTCCCTATTAGTCGATATTATCTGGCTTCTAAGAACGGTCAAAGATTTTATGTGGCGATTTATCAAAAATAAGATGTGTACCGACAAACCAAGAGCTATAAAGCTACTCGGCACACTGTTCAAAATATTCTTCTCGAAACATCTTGGAACATCTTTGTAAATGGAATGGAATCAATAACTTGAAGTCAAAAATCGATAATCGAAATGCTATAGTATGTTATGGGAATGCTCTTCACTTGTAATGATCTGTCCATCTATGTAATAAAATATGGAACATAACTTTAAAAAACATGTCAAACACTTCCTATTTTTTTAAATGAATATCTCATATTTTCAGATAGACCATTCCAAAAAAAGAAGATTTGATATAACATACTATGGTGTTTTGGTAGTTAGTTATAAGCGATTCAATGTAGAAAAACGCCGAACTTTGGCTGCCCGCCAGTCCTCCATTTTGGAAGATAGTCCATTTATACTCTGGGCTTTTAAAATACTAATTAATAACTTGATGATGTGTCGTTTTGAAATTTTCAAGTATCACCTTTACGTTAAAATATAGTATCCATGAATCAATTTCATCATCCCGGATCTCAGCTTGTTAACTTAGCCCATTCAAAAATAAGTTGGGGGGGGGAGACCTTTTTGAGAAGCCACCCTCTCTCGTCAAACCTGTTTGGATTTATAACTGAATGATGAAGTTGCAATGCGGCTACCCGTCTAGCCTCATCTTGCCATTATACTAACATTTAACCAGACAGTACGTATAAGACATGAATACCACTGTCGTGTCATATTCTGGCCTGTTTTGATGCACTAGTTCAGCTTTATATTATAGCAAACAATCATAACCAACATAATGTTGGCATTTAAACTTTGCTGACATGTTTACTTCTTTTGCTCATTACTCGAAACTTTGAGTTTTGGACTTACTTTTGCTTTCCTCTCAGCTACAGAGTTTATTCACGGAATCAAAGCAGTTACGTCAGAACGTCAAATTACGACAGTGACGCACATGGTTGCCACATTAATTAAAACTACTAGATCCTGGACGTTTTACAAAATCTGCCTTGCCGCAACCATATGTTTTGTAAACACTAGAGCCAGTATAAATTCTATTTACTACCTAATACCTCTCCTACGGACTTTGAGGCAATAATGGAGCTGCATGAACTTGTTCGGTCTCAAAATATTTCGTCAAAGAAATGACGAATTCTTTGCTTGTCGACCCAGAGGTTTCGGCGTTTTAGCAAAATGCTTAAAAGGACACCTCAAAGTTTTTATAAAATAGCAATGCTAATATTGAGGCAAAAAGAACGGAAATAAACCTCAAATAAACAACAGCCGTTGGCGTAATTACCTGAAAAGCTTTGCGACAATGTCACAATACAGAAAACTGTTACCAACATATATGTACCCGGGAAATTCAAACTATACGTACCAATTTAGGATCTATTTTGTATATAATATGACGTACCTAAGTGGTTTGTTTCAGTTAATAAACTGTAACTGATTATTGAATAATACATTTCCAGAAATGCCATGTAGCTATGTTGATCTTGCACCATTCTGTTGAGTTGGAACGGTAGGTAGCCTTCACACCTTGTAGACAGTCAGCAGTCAAATATCACTGTTAGGTATTGTCATATTTTGGTCTGTTTTGAGTAGGTCTGGGCAGTTACATCCCTGGATGACTAGACTAATACGAGTCAGGATGGTAGCTAGGTTTCCCACCTTGTAGCAGTCAGGCAGTCAATCAGTCTACGGTGAGCGCTCGTTGGAAGCGGGTAAGCGGGGACGGACGTCGCGTCAGTCTTCGCGCTTTTACGATACGAAATACTACGTGCGTATGAAGCTTTTTACTATCGCTTAAAAAAATATACTGCTCGTGTTGATGTTTTTTTTTTCGATAATTGATTGCGGTCTCCGGCTGTTTATCATGTGAAATGGTGTTTTAGAGTTTGTGGTGACATTTATTAATTGTGTTTTTGGTTACGAGGAATTCAACTGGTTGAGTAATTGCGTTTGAAAAAATCGTATTAACTATAATGTCTAATTACTTGAAAAACTCGTTCATCTATTTGAGGGGTTTGGCACTCGTTTTTTTGCTCAATTCATATTTGAAACACTTTACTTAAAGCTGTTAAAACTGTGTAAAATGCAATGTGAAGTGAAGTTTTACTAAAAATTAAATATTCATTTGGCTTTATATTCCAAACGTCGCAAATTTTGTTTTACCAAGTATACTTACATTAATTTCTTTCTTGATCCAAGAACAACATACTTATCTAATCTGCATCAATAATCCATTCTTTCAACTTATATTTTCCATCATATGTAGTAAGAACATTAAATTTGGTACTCGTTGTGACTGTCATCTTATTCAAGCTCTGTGGTTTAACTTTTTTAGTTCAACCACTATTCTGGAAAGGATATTCATTCATTGGGACTTAACTCCAAATCAAATCAGAACGACGCAACGGGACAATCAAAGCTAGGATTTGGTTACTATCCTGAGGTTACCACTGCTTGTAAATTGTCTAAGCATATCAAGATTCACATAAGAATTATAATGCCATCCTTTGGCTTATACTAGGAGCAGTATATAATTTGAAAAACAATTATCTTCTGTGACGTACATAATTTGAGAAAATGATCACTTGGAAACAATTTAGATGTTTTTTGGAACCATAATAATATGTTATAGATACAACTCCTCATGCGTGGTCGAATACTACCCATGTCTATGCGTATTGCTTTCTACAAATTAAGGTTTCATTAAAAATCGGGTAGATTCTTCTTATCTCTTTTTTCGGTCGTAAATATTAATTCTGGCAGCGGCAGTGATACTACTACTGGATTTTGAACTTCCACTTCTACGTGAACTGGTGCTACAACTCCTTTATGTAGAGTAAACTCATACAGCCTTATGGTGAGGCTCATGTCATCAGATGACAGCACTTTACATGCATGAATTAGAGTTAGAAACCGATCTCTACCGGTGAGCTGGAGAAAAGAAGCCGGCTTACTCTCTCACAAGACAGCTGCAGGTTATCACTGCTTGGGGACCTGACCGTATTGTACAGTCTAATGTTTCCAAAACACAGTTCTGTACCTTGACTAACAAGAAGCGAGGATTTGATCTGGCATGAACACATGTCGTCATTAGCGGCAGCTGTTGGGCAAAAGCTGGGCTCTTAGTTTAGGGCTAACAAGTACCTTTCTCCATAAATATGACCTCCTTACTCTGTACAAGGCCCGGATAAGACCTAGTCTCGAATACTGCTCACATGTTGGGGGTACTGCCGCTTCGACTGCATTATCAATGCTCGATGCTGTTCAGAGGCGGGCTATCCGACTTTAGCACCAACAGGCCGTCGGTCATCTAGATCTCTTCTACTGCTACGCCAACGGTCTTTGCTTCTCAGAGTTCTCCTCCATGATGCCTCCGCGTGATGTGCCTGCTAGATAGATCAGCCTGACTTTGGCCTCCCATCCTAACCTTGTCGAACTTCGTTCATCTAAAGGCCGATTCGATCGCTTCTTTGTCCCTAGGGTATCGAGATTGTGAAACAATTTACATGAGGAGGCTTTTCCCAGGCAGTTCAAAAATCGGATCAATGTTTTTTTAAGCTCCTCATAGCAGCCGCAGTATCATGGCATTTTTTCTGCTCAATGAATATATTTCTTATTGGCTAGAGATGTCTTTATTATAGAATTTTGCTGTTAGCGTATAAAATCAAACCACATAATAATACAAACTTTGCTTTACAAATTTCGGTTTGTTGTCATGCATGTAATAGACAAAAAATCCTTTTATTGACATGCTTTATGTTTGTCCAATGGTCGAATTATATTAGAAATTTTACTAACTACTAAAATACTGCAGCATTACCTACATAGAATTCTAGCTATTACCAGTCAGTAAATTTTCCTTTAAAACATAATCAATCAAATTGATCCTTAGTTTATAGTTACAAAAACTACGTTAGTTTTTTCAATTATATTTTTAGCATTATTGATGGCTTTTGTCGTAGAATGTGTCCTCAGATTATTTTGTAGCTTGACAATTTCCGAACAATATCGTTTTTTCTCACTTTACCAGAATCGTTTGTTCAAAAATCTATTGCATTTGCATTGCTGCTATAAAAATGCTAATACCCATAAAGTGGGAATCTGACAGTGTGAGAATGCGTGTGTTAAAGTAAACAAAGTCTTATTGTGGCTATGTAATCCGAGTTACTGTTAGGCTTTTCATTCATGTGTCAGTCAAATAGTGTGATGGGCCAATGAGAGCAATGGACAGCTAAAGTTGAGTACTACGCATATACCATCCTTTTGCGTTCTGACAACAGTATTCTTTTGGGTGTGATGGATGTTTTGACATTTAGGACGTACCGTGTTAAACTCAGCAATCAAGAATTCCGTTATCGTTTAATTGCTTTCTATGGAGATCAGAGAAGCCAAAAGACTGTCTTGTGCATACAAATTAAAGTATGTCTTGTTTTTTTAAGTAACTAAGTTAAATCCAACAGGGATCTTCATCATACGTCTTTATGCATACGAGATCTGTAAATTAAGTGATGAGACTGATTTAAAAAACAAATTAATCAAATATAATTACAAGCTTATATTGTCTCCCTCAAAAAACAAATTAATCAAATATAATTATATTGTCTCCCTCAAAATAACTTTCTTTTGATGCCACGCAGCGTTGGAGATGGTACTTCCACTCCTCATAGCAGTGCTGGAACTCCGATACTGAGCTTTCAGCTGGTCGGTTACAGCCTTTTGAATGTTTTCGATTGTCCCAAAAATGAGTTCCCTTGAGGTGCTTTTTCAACTTCGGGAAAAAAAGTCAAAAAGTCTCAAGCTGGGTGAATAAGGCGGCTGAAGAGCAACAGGAATGTTTTTACAGTCCAAAAACTCGTTTATTGACATTATGACATTGCTTTGTTACAAGGAGCATTATCGTGATGCAACACTCAGTTGTTCTTTGTCTGATGAACGGTGGTGTGAGTCAAATTTAACTCTTCCTCGATAATTCTGACTGTCCACCGATGATCAGAACGCACGAGATTCCGGATTCTGTCGATATTTTCATCGGTTCTTGAAGATAAAGACTTTCCGATTCGTGGTCATGATCTTGAAGATGAAGGCCTGCCGCTTCGTGCGTCATCTTCAATGGACTCTCTTCCTTCTGAAAATGCCTTCAACCACCGAAAAACCTGGGCTTTTGACAAAACGCTATATCTCCGTAGGCCTGTTTAGCAAAAGTTGCCGTTGCACTGTGCCCAAGTCTGAAGCAAAACCTGATAGCACACCGTTGCTTGAAATTGATGTCACCGATCACAATAGAAAAAACGTTTTCATAAAAGAAATCGCTACGAACAATCATATGACTCGAGCGAGTTCAAACTTCTACTGAAGGCGGATCACAAGTGCAAGTGTCTCCCGTCCAAGCCCGGCGCCTGCAGTGTTGCCAGATCGAACGCTTCGTTGCCAGACTCAACAGACTTAATTTACAGACCTAGTATGCGTATATTCAACTTTAATCCTTTGAATGTGCTGACAGGGAGATTTGAAACTCTAACCAGTGGCAGATTAACTAGAGTAGCAAATGCTACTAGCCCCGTGGATGAACGCTTTGTGAAAGTATTTAAGTAGCAGAGCCACCGTCTTCCTCTCCCCGCGCTCTTTAATTTTCAATAATCGGCACTCTTTCTCTCAGAAGCTCTGAAGTATCTTCCCTCCTCCATCCCCCCTCTGCTTTTCAGTGTTCAATCGCCGACATCCCTCGCTTTTAGAAGCACTAACTCAAGCGCCAAGTATTTCGTTTTTCTTGTCGACCCCAAAAATTTCTCTCTGGGCCTCTATACAGGGTGTTTCAGTTTATTGTTGCATAACTTTAAGATTCGATAGAACTTTTAAAATTAATGCATAAAGTTTATATAAACATGGGTCGAAAAATGCGTGGCTTCCGAAATACAGGGTGTTTAAATTTACTTTCTAAAATAGTTTTTTTTAAATATTTCGAACAATATTTGATGTATAACAGTGAAAATTGGTATACAAGGGTTTTTTGGTACGACAAAACGAACCATGGGCATAGTTTTACTGTAGCCGCTAGAGGGCGCTCTCTACTGTACCTGTAGTGTATTAAAATGACCGAAAACTTTTTCTTAGTGCAATTTTTTACTTTTTGAATAAAAAACTGATTCTTCGCACTTTTCAACATAAAAAAGGTCTCCTGTGAGTTTTCGTTATAGTTAGCCGTTTTTGAGATATTTCGATTTTTAAGGTTCGATGCATTTTTAATTATTTTTGGGAAAATAATATTTTTTTTTACATTTTCGATTACAAGTAATTAAGATGATCGTTTAGATTGTGTTTTTAAACACAGCAATAATTCCTAACTCCAAATAAACACAAAAAAACAGAATATTAATTTGTTTAATTTTCCAATATTATTTTTAACAAATTATATTAATTATTTACAACTAAAATGCTATTGGATAGTTAGGACAAACATACAAAATCTAAAGTAGTTACTCAAAATGTAAACCCAATTGTTCAATACACAATTCACATCTACGAATGATCGAACGTGGTATAGCATTATTCAAATAAGGCCTTATTTCATCACATGTATTCCTGATTCTGTCTATTAGCATATATCTTGTGGTTACGGGAGTCTGGTATACTTTTTCTTTTAGACACCCCCACAAAACGAAATCTAATGGATTTAGGTCAGGGGATCATGGAGGCCAGGCGACTGGTCCTCCACGGCCGATCCATCTTTCTGGATAATTTTCATCCCGCCAGTTTCTAGCTATTCTCGAATAATGAGACAATAATGGACAACCATCAAGCTGGAACCAGGCCAATCTTCTTAAATCTAACATAACATCATCCGACATATTTGCATGTTCAGCCTTTAAAAATTCCAAGAAGGTCGTAGCATTTAACCTTGCAGGCAAAAGCTAGGGTCCAAATAGTCGATTACGGTAGATACCAATCCACACGTTCACACTAAATTCATACTGAAAATTTCTTTCCCGAACTGCATGCGGATTTTCATGCGACCAAATATGTTGATTATGAAAATTTACCACTCCACGTCTAGTGAAGCATGACTCATCGGTCCATAAAACGTTACTTAAAAACTCACTGTTATTATCAGTTCTATCAAGAATCCACTGACAAAATGTGATTCTTCGTTCTCCGTCCCCTGGCTGTAGTCCTTGCACAGGTTGCAAATGGTAAGGACATCTATGGTCATTTCTAAGAACACGGTGAACATGGCTTGCTGAAATTCCCAAGGCACAAGAAACTCTCCTAACACTTGTGGTCGGATCTCTATCAAACTCACGCAGAATCATACGGATAAATCTGCGTTGACAAACATTTATGTTTTGACCTCTTTGGAGATTCCCAAAACCATTTTCAATTATTTGGCGATGCACTCTTACAAATACTGAGCGAGTTGGATGTCGTCTGTTTGGAAATCTTCATGCGTATTATCTGGCTGCTTCTGCTGCGTTTCCATTTACAAAGCCATACACAAAACGTACTTGTTTTTTGCTTGGAACATTAGTTTTTTTTTCTCAAATGGTTATTAGTACTGATTGACTATCCTAAAAGTTCATTGTAAAAATGGAGATATTCAGCCGTATTCATAAAAGGAAATCCTCCAGATGGTATTTATAATAATTTGAAGTAAAAGCTTTTGCTTTTTGAGTATAAGCATATTCTTCAAAGCAGTGACATAAGTAAAATGATATTCATGATCTTCACCTTATACTTGGCATAGGAAGCATATCCATCAAAAATTCTGAGTGTGGTCAGTAGCAGACTCAACTTCGTAACGAAAGGTGGTCAAACGATGATGGCGGATATTGTGGATGTTAGGGATGTTAAAACGTACAAACCTTGTTTACTTTCACTTGGTCGTGACTTCACAAAATTATGTCGGTTCGACGAAGCAAATAAACAATGACTTGCGGACAGATTTTTAGTTGAGAATGAGGAAACTCGAGAAGGAGCACTTTCATGTATTCATAGAATGAAGATATGTCTACGCTATCTCAGTGACCCTGGATATCAACAAGGTATTGGTCAGGAACTTGGTGTTAGTCAAGCAACGGTATCTCGGACTGTGGATAGAGTTGTGAACAGCATGGACAGTCGAACGAATGGATCAAGTTTCCAACTACCAACCATGAACTGATGGAGGCCAAGCGGATATGGCAAAGCAGGTATACATTTCCGACAGCAATTGGTGTAATTGATTGTACACATACAGGAATCCTGAAACCAAATCGCCATGGATAAGAGAATATCAACCGAAAAGGGAACCCTACTTTAAATGTGCAAGCCACTTGTGATGCCAGAGAGATGTTCACAAGTGTTGATGTCAGTTGGCCTGGATCAGTGCATGATTCCAGAATATGGAGAAATTCACAGAGTAGATCACAACTAATAAATAAAGCAAATGTTGTACTACTTGGCGATGACGGTTACGGTATTGAGCCATGCCTTATGACCACCTTCAGAAATCCTACTCCAGGTGCAGAAATAAATTATAATAAGCTTTTAAAACAAGAAAGAGTTATAATTGAACGCTGTTTCGGCCAACTGAAACGCCGGTTTCCTATCCTACAGTATGTTTGCCGCGTAAAGTTGGAAAATGTGCAGAAAATAATAATTATTGCTTGTATTGTACTCCATAATGTTGCAAAGAGCTTGGGCAATCCTGACTTTGAGTTGGTGGAACAAGAAGCAGATGAAGATGAAGGAAATCATGAGAATGACGAACTTTCTCTCCGCCAACTAGGTCAACAAATAAGAAGATACTTGAGTATTATAATAAATAGTTGTACTGATTAAAGTGTATTTATAAGTTATAAGTTTTATTTTCGTGAACATCATAAGTTACAGGTGGCTTGTTGTAAAATACTTGTTTGGTACTGCTGTAATAGTACTAGACGTTGCAGTTCTTTTGTAGTTAACCCTTTTGTTTCATCAGTTTCGTATTTCTCTGTTGCTAATTTTCTTTTTGGTGGCAATGTTTTCTGAATTGCTGGCGCTGTAATACTGTTTGCTCACTGCGCTCGGTATAGTTCACTTCCTTCTTCTTGAGCACTACCAACCTCAATGGCACCTCTAATTTTCCCAATTGTAGGATTACAGTCACCTTCCCTAGCTTTCAGCAACTTTCGTTCCCAATCTAACAATTTAATTGCTTTATTACCAGTGTTTTTTTAGATCTGTTTTTTTCTTCAACCTTGATTTCATGTTGTTGATTTTTTTTTAATAAGCCTTTAGTATCTAATGGTTTACCGAATGTTGATTCGTATTTTTTTCAACGTCTTCTTCAAGGCATCGTCCTCTCTCATTTTTATTTTTGGAACTTGTGACTTTTGCAAAATAATGGGAGCAATGGCAATTTCATCTGCGATCAACTGCAGGCCGTTGCCATTATTTTCTATTGTTTCCTCATCACTTGAGTATGCCTTGCTTATTAATTTGATAAAAAACTGTATCCAGTAAAATTACGGAACGGTCTGTGTAAGCTCTGGAGTACAACTGTCAGTGATGCTGAGTGAACGAACTCCCACGTCAACTACAAATAGAAGTAAATCTTTTACTTCTTCTTGGATGATATCCTCGCGAGTATAAGGTAATCATTATGAATATGAAAACAAGGATATGCTTATACTTCTACCTTTTTCTCCGAAGCAAGACCTTATACTTTTACCTTATGCTTCCGAGGATATACTTCTCTTTTATAAATACGGCTCATTATTAAGGAAAATGTACAATCTTGGGCTGTATTTAGAACATGACACGACATTTCAACAAATTGTGGCATACTGCCCCAGCTGAAGCACTATAGATAAAATCGTAAACATTAAGATCTTCACGTGATGATCTTTCATCGATATTATCACCTTCTACGTCAGTTTAATGTTTCATGCCTCTATAAAATGGTAATCGAGACTATTAATAAAAGTTAATGAGAATATTTACATATGCCGTTGGCGCAGTAGATTCGCGACAGCTGTACATTATACGAATTTAAAACCCGTAAAATATTTTGAAGACTCGTTTGTAAAGTATAGTTTGACGAGCACTTATTTATTTACGAGCGACGTTTAAACAAAAAACTGGGTCAACGGTGATGTTATATCCTACTGAATAAGATAAGGTGCCTATGAATTTTTATCTATTTATTTTGAGTAAGACGTCAACATTGGTACTCAACTATTTTGAAATCTTCTGCTGACTTTATCTTCCAAGCTATGGGGGGCTTTTTTGTCTAGGAACCAGCTTTTTTACAAAATCGATTGAAAATGCAAGAAGCTTGCTAACTTACTGTGATATCTTATCTTTTAGTTTTCGTGCTGATAGAACTTCCATGCCCAAGGTCACTGAGGTCTCCGAAACGTCATTAAAGATGCAAAAGCCATTAATAGCAGGATTACTGCCCTCGAACCCCGTCGAAGCCTGAATCTTTTATTCAGACTGTCTCTTTGTAGTTGAAGTTTTATTCATATCTGGAAAAATTAGTGCTAGTGGTCTCAAATGGTTCCTATTTTTTCCACAAGTTGTCTTTGTGTGAACGCTAATGATTGATCAAAGCATTTCTAATACTTTATGCTTATTCCTATTCCAAGTTTCGAAAACAAATAACCAGGATGATGAAGCATAAATAAAAATCTCAAAGCGTGATGCGGTTATAAACAAAAGGCGCAGACGAACCACTTTGTTTTCGAATTGGTAGCGGCTTTACAAAGGCACATAATGACAACATACAGGCTGATAAATGACATGATCAATGATTTTTGTACTCTCCTACTTTTTATGTTCGTGTTTCACTATGTTTTCATCAAATATATTCAGTCGTTTTCCTGAAACGCTCTATGATTACATGATGATATGATCTGTCTTCATGAAAATTTATTGATTTTCAGCCATAGAGGTGGAATTATAAATGTCAAAACCATAAATTGTGCCAAATTTTTGTTTTATATGCAGTTACTATCTCAGTAAATGTATCAATTTATCAATTTATTCATAATTTTGTATGCGTAAATTGTGTATGGATTAACTAAAGAATACGAGCGAATCCATTTCATTCCATTTTATGCGCAAAACTGTAAACGATGTATGTAATTAAGGGCGAATAGGCAAACGAGTGATGGAGGTCTTTCGCATAATAGAGCCGCACCTTGATGAATGTCAAAAGGGGACGATAGAATTAATTTCCGTGAAATATTACCCGTGTAGAGCCACATTACGTAGATTAAAACCATTTTGTATGATATCGCTTCTTATTCAATATACATAAACTCCTGTTCTTTACATCGCAATTCCGGATTCAAGGTCCCAAAAACTTGATATTTTAGTATATAATAGGATGTTTATTTTCGTCGCTTTATTATACTGTAATCTACTGGCTGAGATCAGGTATGTTGATGTGGACAAGCCGTTTTACACCATATATGATTCATTGATTATGAAGGACTATTTCCGTATTTGTTACTTGCGAACCAACTAGCTTTGCCAATAAATCCTAGATTTAATGATATTGTAAAGATAATATTTGTATCCATCTCCAATTTCTGAGCCTTCAAACAGGTGTTGCTACCTGGAGTCAAAGTGGTTCATGACATATCCTGAAAACACGTTATGTCTTCTTATTGTGTAAAGATTGCCTGTATGTTGCAGTCGGAGGGTCGGAGTCACGTTCTAAGCATGGGCCTAACTAAGGCTTTTCTACAGATTTATCTACTAAATGTATTCTTGTCGTAGCCTCTAAAGCAAATGAATATTTGTGTAAGTCTCAACCAGTTCCAAATTTATAGTAATCACTGTATTTTGACACAGCTTGTGTGGTCTACATCTCACTCTTGTGCATGCTCAAGTATTGAATACTGTACTAAACATTAGTGCAGTGTTTCGCTCTATTTTCAGAACAGCTGTTCTACTTATTGACCAAGTATCGATGGTATAGAATTATCATTCCGTTGACCTCAGCTCATCAAGTCTCCACATAACATATCTTGCTAATATTATCTTCTATCTTGCTAACAAATTGAACTGCAAATTGAAGCAAGAAGCGTACGAGATCAAAATGCAGGTGTTCAGATCAAAGTCGGTATATCAAAGACTTGTTTTGTTTTCAATTATATGTTTATTATGCATACACTAGATACGGGCTGTTTACTTTAACGGCTAACAATTTATCAAACTCATTTATCATTAATTGGTACTGATGATTAGTTTTTCTTTGAAATTGACAAATCTTTTATTACTATGGCTGAATAGTTGAACAGTCTAACGTATTTTTACTACATCTGAATTCTGAATGTACTTATTTGCTATTGCCTTAGATGCACACTAGTTCAGGTACCTATTATGGGTGGTTTATTTCCAAAAAATCGTGTATCCCAGCGTTTTCAAAAAAAGTTTCCTTTAATATACACGATGAATCTTTGACCAAACACCTCTCCAACCAAGTTGCTTTTCTTTTCTTGAACATAATGTCATCTTCATTCCATTAACTCAATTGGATAGCTAATTATGAGGTATTGTAACCCCGAAAAATTCTGTTATGGAGGTGTTATCTTTCACAACGAAACACCATACAATTTCCGCCAATCTTTTTTTTCGTCTCTATAACACGGACGGTATTGTTCGAAATTTTGTCAACAATTTACTGCCATGCCAAGAACGAAAAATATCTGTAGATTCTAAGTCAGTCCTGTGGCAGAGAAAAACGAAAAATTTCAGGATCTTCCGACGTTTCTCGAATACCTAATCATTTTTGGGCGTAATCAATTATACCTTTCTAAGGGGAACAATATATTAAAAGAAATCGATTGTTCATTTTAGGTGTTTGGAAAGTTTTGGAGGTTAAAAAATCATCAAACATATCCCATAGTTATATTTTTTCAGCTTATCACTTTAGAACATCTTGCTTCGCTTCGTTTTTTATCACCACGTCAATATTTTCGTATTATGTTGAAAATTTTACCGGAAATTTGTATTTGATTAAACAAACATCTCTAGGTACTTAATTGTTTGTTTCATTCATACACGCGAAGAAGTATCAGAATTTCCGGATTTTGTGTTCTTTTGATTTCTATTTTATGGCTTGCGTTATTACTTACAGTTACACCAACTTCAACAAATTCTGGCTGCTCCTTCGTAGGCATCATAAATGTAGTCTTCCTCTTGTACGCTTTCCAGATGCCTGGTTATCTTCAAGTGTCGAACTTCAGCCCTGTAAACCTAGAAAAACTTCCATTCTTGACCCAGTCTTTTTGACGGTTGAACGTAGAACTGCGTTTGTAAGCAGAACGTACTAAATTCTCAACTGACTGAGCTAATCTACTTATTCAAGTATTCACGAAAGATATTTCAATAGACATCAAATTATGTAAATACTGAAAACCTTAAAGTCATAGGTTTTCCAATTTAAATCATGAGATGTCGTTTACATATTTGACTGTATTTGTGTTCAACAAAACCGTTCAGTCTACATTCTGAAATTGACACGTGTACCGCCCTAAACACGTGTTTCATGATATACGATACATTGCTATTAACAGTTGGCGTGGCCGTAGTCATAAATCTAAAGACATTGTACTGACTCCGCCCATAGGCAAATTGATGAAATTGACTTTTGTCTTTCGGTGACACATTCTTTCTGATAAACAGTTTCAGCTATGAAATATCGGTTTATTGCTCGATCGTTAAAGAGCTTTCTTCTTGAAGGGTAATATATGGCATAGACACAAACACACAAGCACAAGCGAGTTAACAAGCTGACATGATCTCAAAAACAAATATTAAGGTCAGACATTTTTTGAACACAAAACGGATGGAGAAATAATAATATAACAACAAAAGACATTGAAGCATTGGAAACAGTAATGAGGTGTCGTATAATAATCCGCATCATGCCTGTGTGTTATTTTCTAAAAAAAAAATGGCTTTTTATACCTAATTATTGGTATGATTTTTGTCAAAATGTTAAAGCATGATACTACTATTGCAGAGACGTAAAGGCTTCTTAGTTTTTCAAAAACGATCTTGAGGTGACGAAGCAACATAAAAGAGGTGTAACGAATAAGAGGTGTAATATATGGCATAGACACAAACACACAAGCACAAGCGAGTTAACAAGCTGACATGATCTCAAAAACAAATATTAAGGTCAGACATTTTTTGAACACAAAACGGATGGAGAAATAATAATATAACAACAAAAGACATTGAAGCATTGGAAACAGTAATGAGGTGTCGTATAATAATCCGCATCATGCCTGTGTGTTATTTTCTAAAAAAAAAAATGGCTTTTTATACCTAATTATTGTTATGATTTTTGTCAAAATGTTAAAGCATGATACTACTATTGCAGAGACGTAAAGGCTTCTTAGTTTTTCAAAAACGATCTTGAGGTGACGAAGCAACATAAAAGAGGTGTAACGAATTAAGTTTGGACTCTTAAAAGTGTGCGAAATCACAGGTTCTCTGTAACCTGTTCAATGTCAGATAGCAGCAGTGATGACATCAGAACTGTAGGTCCGATTTCATGGAAAAAATAAAACTTAACTGCAAGCGGCTTTTTCTTCAAATAAAGCAGCTCTTTCTTCAAATAAATTATTTTCATTTAGGCTTTTTATTTTACTCTGAAGTTAACGCAAGAAAATATCGCATCCCCTCTATTATGAGATTTTTAATTCCGATATGTTTGAGACAATACAGCTTTAAAAACCAAATAAAAATAATTTCTTTTTTTGGTGTTTTATCACTCACCAAAATATTTACTTGGTGGCATTTTCTAATTTGCTCGTGTCTTGTAGACAATCATGCATACCTGAGTTTTGAGTTACTGCATGCGTGATTCCTAGTATGAGTAATCATACTTAAGTTTTCCTCGGAAGATTGAAACATTTTTCATCTAAACAGATTATTAACAGAAGGAAAAGATAATTATCTAGATCAGTTAATGGAACCCAGCAGCTTAACTGTTAGTTGTGGCTTCACACACAATGTTTACGGTCGTTGATATCCAGCTGCGTGCAGTATTTCAAATGCGTCCTTAATTAGTTTTTTTCTTGTTAATGCTTGTGGAGCCAAACCGAGAGATTGTAATAAAGTTATTTGATATCCATAATGAGCAAAAATAATAGCACGCAATGCATGTCATCAGTTGTGATAGGTTTTTGATGGTTTCCGAATCACTTGGCATTACAAGTCTATTAAATTGTAACTTCAGGAACTTGTTATTTGGTGGTCTCTAATACGCCTTGGTGAAAATCCTCCAACGTTGATTTGTCATCAGAGAACTCACAGGATTCCGGTACCTTTTTTCAAAAGTTGATGGTGATGTTAAAACTAGAGATGCATCTTGTATTTTTATTTATTGTTTTCAAACGTTCTCAGTTTTATGTTTCACATAATATTTTGTGAACATTTCAGAGGTATCTGATGAAATTCTGAAAAAAGTGCACAGGTGGTCTTTAAAGTTGGATCTTTTCTTCACACAGCGTATAGTTCACGTAACAATAAGCAAATTTTCTTGCTAACACGTATACTGAAGCTTTAGTATATATGAGCATTAAGAAAAAGTCTTAATGGGCCAGCCCGACACAGTGTCTAGCGAATTTGCATCAGTATCCATATCAAGCCTCGGGCGGCGTGAAGGTTATCCTCGCTGTTTATTTACAAATGGATTTGAAAAACTGAAATTCACACATTTCTGTAGCACTAATAACTTTATCTGTTTGATGTTAGTTTACGGTGAATGTATTCAAGATTGATACATCTCCAGTGTATTCGTGGATGTTTTTGTTCCGATCTGAACAGGTAGGGCGTTAGATAGACATAGTAGAAGACCTACACAAACCCAAATTTTGTAAATTTATGAGAAGCTAACAAAGCAGTGTTTCTGAATCGACGACAACTTCAATCCGTATTTACGCGCAAAGCATGTTGCAATGCACTGCTTAACATGTTTATCAAATAAATAGCAAGTACTTTTCTTTAGTTTCTTTTTTGCGTTTTCGCATTATCATTTTGTTATTTCAAGCGTAGTTGTTCGTAGAAGGAAAGTTCCAACTTTCGTCCAACATAACCAACATGAATCAAAGACGTTCAGAGTCTCCCAAGTTTGCATCTAGGACTTTGATATCCGTTTTCAGATTAGCTAAAAAAATGCGTGTAGTTTCTCGAAAACGCCAGTTTAGCTTTGGCTTTTTCTCGTGACTACTTGCTGCTAGAGGTATCAATTCCAATATATTTCGTATTTGTCCCTGATTTGCTGATTTACAAGTTTGATATAACACTATTTTAATTTCTTTGTCTAGATTAATACTGGCATGTTCTACACCATGGACAGTGGATTATATAAACACCTGATCTAAGTTTCTTAGGAGCTCTAAATCTGTAGAATTTAGTAATGCCAGGATAGCGTTTCCTGTTTTAAGGATTGTCGGAAAGTCAAATGGTAATTAGCAACATAATATTTGACGGAGCAAGCAAATGCATACAACTTGAAAATGTCAATGGCAGTGATTTCATGCGTCGCGTATTCTGTGAACTGAAAATGCTTCCCACAATTACTCCACAAAATTAGATTTTATTTAATTACAGCTGCGATGAATCTAAACTGCTTTGATCTCAATTGTTGTGACACGTTGTTTACTAAAATCGTCAATTTACGAATATTTTGAATTTCAAGCATTCTTGCCACTATCTAATCTTCGATGTCAGTGGTTCCGTTACGGAGAGAAGCGATATGGTGTAAAAATGGTATTGCGTCAGTGATATGCCCAGTCTAAGATCACTTTGAAACATGTATCACCCTAGACGTGCTTCGGCTTTTGTTTACTACATTTTAGATAAGGAATGTCCTGGTCGCTGCACCATTAACTCCATTTACGCGGCATGACATAGAAAATTTGAAAATACTCAACACGGGATCGTGAATCATCTACAAATCATTACCCTGTATTTTATAAATAGGTAATGATGAACTGTTACTAAGCCAAAGTTGAAGAATTTAATAGCTTCAAAATCGAACTCAAAAAATGGGTAGAAGATCTATCTATTCATCTACCAGGTGTTTAAAATTCGACCCTCGTTATTGGGATCTCTGAAACGGTAAGAAATATAAAGTCGTTTAAATGTGCAGTTTTTTCATTTTTTTATTATGGACGCCGTATTGAATTTTTGTACAGATGAATAGAGTTTTCAAATCTGATTCCAAAAATATATGATACGTCGTACATTGACATTGCCAAACCTCAGTTATTTCAAAAAAGCAGAATTTCCTAGCTAGGCCTTGAAATTATCAGATTAGTCATTTGTCTCGTATACCAGACCAAACCTCAAATTGAACATAGTAACAGAGTTTGGAAGATTGAGAAGAATGGAAATAAACGGAGCAGTGAACAATTCACAGAGAAGGGTCAGGGCTTTGGCTACAAAATAACGGACCATACCGTTTTATTTGTTCATTATTTTCATCCAACAACAAATTCATGTTCAACTAAAGAAATGCATCGCTGAATTAGAACTGAAAAATCCATTTAAATGTACGAAATATCAATATAGCGTGGAAAAAAAAGGAAAAATCTCGAATTGAAATATTTTGAAATTTCATATCAAATAAAGTCAGGAAAAAGATAAAAAACGATTTTGAGTAAATTTAGTATGCGAAACAAATGACTATCTGATAATTTCAAGGCCTACCAAGGAAATTTTGCTTTTTGAAATAAATAAGGTTTGTCAATTTCAATATAAGACGTTTTATGCATTTTTAGAATCAGAATCAAGAACTCTATTCATCTGTGCAAAAGTCTAATGGTAAAAAGGAAGTTGACACTGGAGAACAAGAGACGAAACGTCACGTTGATATTATAATTAATTATTCTCTCTTGTAGAGGAGAAAAAGTGCTGATATCGCACTTTTTACGATTACAATAACGATTTATAAAAGAACCAAGTACTTATAGGTTTTTGACTGACGAAAGACTAGCCTACATCTATATGCTTTGTGAACCGAAAACCATCTCAACTTCTTTGGCATTTATACCTACTGGACAATCAATATTCTGTGATTAAAAGCCATGTATTATCTCTTCATCTGTGGAATCACTAGAAAATCATTCATTTATTGTTTCAACAGCAGATCTGAATGATAGTAAACTTCCTATAACTGGAAGGTAAAACCTTTCTGTACCAAACTGAACAAAAAACATTGACGATCCCTTCAGGAACTAAAAAATAAACACTAGATAACCAGAAAAAATATGGTGGTACCTCAACTGTATCCTGTGCGTGTGACTAAGGCCATTACCATTCCATATTTTTTTTATTGTATACGTTTGCATCTTTTACCGTATCTGTCAGGAACGGAAATGCGGCTGAAGAGCATCAACGAGCCAGAGACGTACTTTCGGCTTTTATAATTGGTGTAGGCGTCGTTTAGATCCACTTGAAGTGGTATGATGCAGTGCTCGAGAGTGATTTTAAAATTATAGTCTGGTCCTAAGACAACAAGGGTTGCTGTTATCTTGAATGTACATTTACAAAATGTTTTTAAACCATGATTACCTGGGACAAATAATAGATTCGATCCAAATCTTGAATTTTAATGTTTTACACATACTTAGATCAGTCTGCTAACTTTTTACTACGACTCGTGATCATGAATTTAAACCACAAATACAAAATTTGCTACTGCTTGCAAGAAAATGTTCTACGTCAAAAAAATTCGGGAAAACAAACAGAAGCAAAGCTTGGGAATTCCGTGATTTGTTTTCTTCTTCATATATGTATATATGTATGTATATATATATATATAGTTCCTAACAGTTATTAAAATTTAGCATATCTTTTTAAAACCTTTACTGGGCTACCAATACAGGTCTGACATATTTTTAAACAGTCTATGAATGACACAAGCTAATAGAACCATTAACAAGGCTTTGTAAGGTGACGTCAGCTATATTCCAGCATTAATAGACCGCTTATTTTCGGTGGCCATTATAATAATCATGATTATGAACATATCATACTCGCTATCTTAATAATGAATGACATAAGAGCTTGTCTAAGAAATAGTTTTCGCTGTTGATATCTATTAGATTGGCCAAAATGTGCACTGAATCTTATAATAAATTGTATCCTGATGTTTACTTTGATGCTGGTTGGGAAAGGTATTATCGAAATTATTTTAACAGCATAAATCTCTCTACAATCATGAAATCTTACTTTCGTAAGCTATCATTTTTTTAGGTTTAAGAAAAAGCTTTTAATGGAGAAATGTCAATAGAAGGATAGAAGAGAAAGGTATTATTGTGTGGTTCGATTATCCATACAGCAATATACACAATGGAGAAATAACTGCAATTCAAGCTTGGTCTTTGTTCTTCTACCAGGTTTTATCCTTGGAACTTTCCCATGTCGTCCCTATTTAGAACGATTCTGGAATACCTCTTATTATATCCTGGACAAAACTTCGGAAAATTGACGATAGTCATATCTTACCAAATATAAAAATATTTGTTGTCGAGTCGATAAATACTCATATTGTACCCGTACAAAACACTGTTTTTAAGTTTCTATGAAATCAATATAATATCATCTTTATACAGGATGTTATTGAAGTAGCTAGCTAATCTTCAAAGGCTGATATCTTGAATGATTCTAAAAAAGGTTCATATACGCGTAGGTCCAGTATTGCTTCATTTTCTATATAGATTCAGGTTCCTAGAGCTTATTTGAAACTCCGTTTTTTGTGAAAAAAATCGTAATATCCTTTTAGCTCTTTTGATTTTGTACAAACCTATGGCCAAAAAATCAATCAAAATTATTTAAGAAAGGCGCTCTGCGGAAACCACAAATTGTATTGGACATCTAGATCCCCAGATTTGATTCTTTTAATTAGTCTCCTCTGAGGCTTTGGATCTCACTTATTGAAAAAATAAATTTTCAGATAATGTTCTGTAACTTAAAAAATGACATTACTGAAACTATGTTTATAAGAACTTTTATTAGAATCAATCAAATGATTGCTAGTTGTTATTGAATACTTTATTAATATCCTGCATAACCTGCTGGAAAATAGATTTTACAACAAAACCCGACGAATTAACTGTAGTATGATGATGATACATGATACACAGGACATTCCACGATATTAGTCAAATACTGAAAATTCGCCTGAAAGTGCCGCGAAAGAATACAAAATGACATTCTGGACTAAAACCGGGAACCATGTGACGGGACTCGCGTAAAATGTCAGCCGTCCACGACGGTTTCGCGACCATCCGACGCCCAAGGGTGGGTGTACCCCGGCACCCCCGAGGCCGCCGTCTCTGGCCAGCGTGCCCGAGAACGGTGTAGGTTGGAGACACGGCAACGACCATCAACACAGGGCCAGCTTTTGGGCGGAGAAAGGGTCCATATCGCCCTTGACTAACGATGCTGGTGACTCCAATGACAAGTTCAACAGCTGTTTTGGAGATAGGTGCAAGTTGTCGCCGGTGGGTGATCCTAGTGTGCCGTGGTGGGAGCTGGCTACCAGGAAGAGTCGGTACAGGAGCTGTCCAGCGCTGGAGATGCATGTTAGTGATTTTTTGCAATCAAACAATTTAGATAAATCTGTTATATTATGCGATTGTTCCTTATTTCCCTCAATATTTGTCACCGTAGTGTTCAACCTCTGATTTTTGCAAATAGATATTCTGAAATCTTGTTCTAACATATTCAAAATTTGTCGATGTTGCTAGAGGCTCAAGGCGACGTTCTGTTAAGATTAGAAGGTAACAATAAAAAACTGCTGCTAATTTTTTTAATATTCATCAAAGTAATGCTAAAAATAAAAAGCCTAAAAATCAACTTTTTCAAATAATGACACCAGAAAAGGATGTTGATTCTGTAAAAGCCCATTAATATACGATTATAATTTCTATTGAACACATTCCAAAACCAAAAGTGGTAGCGGTGGTTCCATACTATATAGCCTCATGGAGTTATCTTAATTTTGATTAATTTTTGCATAGCTCTCGAATTTTTATTATTATTAAGCATTGAGCTCCTTATGAAAGTAACTTAATAATAAGATATGAATTATTTCACGAAGAATGCCGCTGATTTCATCTCATCTTTTGTTTGAGGTTGTTTTTAGACTACACACATACTAAGTATTAAAGTACTACTTAAAACTATCATTAGCTGTCAGACATATCTTACGTTACTCAAAGTGCTTGATAATATTCCAGGGTAGTAACCCTGAGTCAGAAAGAATTTTTATAGTTCGAGCTATGATAATATGAATAATATGCGTACCTATGCATCAGTCAGGTGGAATTCTGTAATATTTGGCTAAATTGTTGTACAGGGTGGCCCATAAGTCCTTTGAGCTGGAAAAAAAGGAATAAAACCAAACTAGTTACATTATGAAGAATTATTATATTTTGTTATCATCTCTATTGAATGGGAATTATGTTTTAAAAATCACATCGTCTAAATGCAATCCATTACGATCACGGCACTCATATAAACGACGTCTAAAATTGTCGATGACTGCGCGGCAAGTCAACAGTGTAATGCTTGCCATTTCTCTTCGGATATTTTCTTTCAGGACATCAACTGATCGCGGAGTGGTGTCGTACACTTTACTCTTGAGGTAGCCCCATAAAAAGAAGTCCATTGGGGTCAAATCTGGACTACGTGGTGGCCAGGAAATGTCTCCTCTTCGAAAAATTACTTTGCTGGGAAAAAGTTGACAGACGACGGGTATAGAAGTGTTGGAGGTGTGGGCAGTTGCTCCGTCCTGTTGAAACCAGGTCTGCGTATTATAGCCTGGAAAATTCTGCAACGCTGGTGTCAAAAACTCTTCTATCATTGCTACATACCGCTCCGAAGTAACAGTTAATACGCGACCTCTGTCGTCCTCAAAAAAATAAGGGCCTACGATGCGATGCGCTGACATAGCAGCCCAAACTGTAACTTTAGGGCTGTGTAAGGGCTTCTGATGCTTACGCCTTGGATTTTCGGGGCTCCAATAACGACAATTTTGTTTATTTACATGCCCGTTTAATTGGAAGTGAGCCTCGTCCGAGAACAACACATTATTGAGCGAAGAAAGTCGATTCAACATTTCATTCGCAAAGTTTAGTCTCTGAATAGCGTCATTATCTTTTAATTCCTGCACTAACTGAATTTTGTAAGCGTGCATACGTAAATCTTTCCTTAAAATCCGCTGTAAAGATGTTCTGGGTACGTTTAGTGCACTGGAACGCTTACGAGTAGACTGGGTAGGATTTTGACGAACAGACTGTGCCACAATGTTGATGTTTTCTTCAATACGAGTTGTCCTTGGTCGACCCCACCGCTGTTTATCTAACGTCCAACACGTCTCTTCGAACTTAGCAACCCTGTTCTTAATCGTTTGAGCTGTTGGACACTTTGTAAAATTGTGTAAATTGTGGTATTCTCGATATTTACGTCGCGCAATGGTTGCCGAATCATTATTTTGATAAAACGCGCGCACACAAAAAGCACGATCCGCTCCAGTGAAACACTCCATGGCGACTGAATTCCCAGACACTGAAGATACTGCCCCCACCTCGCCCGCGGCCGCTCACGCTCACCCGTTAAATTTTATTCAAATTTGAAATTTCAAAGGACCACCCTGTATAAAGTAGCGCATAGTCCCATGCATATCGCTAATTTGCCGCAGTTTGTGTGTGTATAGCAAAAGAAACGTAAGGGCTCTGTATTTTTCTGGGTAAGGTATTTTCGAAATTGGTCAGGAGTGATCTTGGATTGGACATTGAACCTCACCTTCAGTCATTTCAAGGTCAATTTATGTGTTTAACTCTTTGACACATACAATGGAAATACGTTCAGTTACTATTACGGTCAAATTCATTTAAAAGCTTGTTAAAAGTTACCTTGGTTCTTTCATCAATAATAATGCTAAAACTTAGGAATTTCCTTGATCCCATATTTTAGTCCACATTTTGTTGTAGAATTTTCCGTATTCTGGATTATCGGCGTCAAAAAGGCGGTTTTCATTAAAAAACCAAAGCTGATCCTGAAGTAACCTTGAAGGTGATGCTTAAGGTCAAGCCCACGATCACCACTGAACTCCGTGCTTAAAGTTAGTACAGATCTAACCTTGACGTTTTTTCAAAATACCTTTACTCGAAGAAAACATAACCATTCCTTAACTTTTGTTAAGTCTGGTATATTAATCATATTAAAATGAGATCTGATAACCTGGAAATAATCCGTCGTCGTTCCGACCACAATCAGTAGCTAACGGTTATCGGAAAACACTAAAATAAATAAAAAACTTTCACTATATTCTGCTAACTGTAAAACCAGATTCAAATTCAGTGTTCATAATTATAATGTGTGGAAAGTATGATAGATTACATCTACCATACCATACTAAAATTGTCACGAAACTTTTTTTCAAAATAATGACATAAATAATTGCGCACCTTTGACCTGACATGAATAAACATTTAGAATTAGGTTATTGAAGTAATGTTCTTTATCACGGCGAAAAGTTCCGGATCCTACCGTGGACAGGAACTGAAAACTCTTTGAAAAGGTGTAAATATTATCTATATATCTATATATATATATATATATATATATATGTATATATATAAATAATTAATTGTTAATTGGGAAATTGGCAAATTTTTAGGCTTAAGTTGACTGTGTTGTTAATTAACAACACAGGTCTCTCCATGAATTATGGCAGTATTGAGGTTCTTGACAAAGAAAAAAGACTCTCAAAACGTTTATTTTTAGAAATGTCCCACATTTTCATGGCAGATCATTGCATGAATAAAAAGGCTGATGTTAGGCAGCTTAGTGTCATTTATTCCTACCTGTTGAATTGCGAAAAGCTAGAACGGCTACATACCCAAATCGAATAAACATCGTCCCAAAATTAGAATACATTTCCAATTGCTATCCTGGTAATTGAAATTACTTACTCACAATCTTTAATATAAACTCACATAACCCATCTTTTCAAGTGTGTATCACTATCTCACATTCGTACACTCATATGAACTACACATTTTTCCAATGTCTCCGTCCTTTTGTTTTTATAATTATAACAAGTTCTATCTTCTCTACGTTCGTTTTGAAACACCTTGTGGCTGCAACCTCAACGACGAGTAAGTTGTTTGACAATTTAAATATGTCCTGTATTCTTTGAGTCAACTTAAGCCTAAAAATTTGCCAATTTCCTAATTAACAATTAATTGTATTTTATGCCCAACTGGTCGTTGGCTTTGGCAATTACTACTGCTCATATATATAACAAAAAGTTGTGGAGAAAATTTGGTAACTAGATAAGTAAGCCTCGAAAGTTGTTTCTATGATTTTTTCATTACAAGATTATTCCAATTCTCTTAGAGCTCTCTTAGGTCAATGCTCGTACGCGGAATTTTTGGGCCATCTGATTAATGATTGATTTTATTAATGAAAATTACAAATGATGTAAAAGGCTGAATTTTAACGTGATCTACTAAAATTGCTCCAAAAATGTATCTGGTGGAAGAATATACTCGTATATCAAACTGAGCAAAAAATGTTTTCAAGTTAATTTTTTATTTTAGGCCATAAATCTTTTCAAAATCATCATGCCGAAAAACTATTATCTATTTTTATGTTCCATTTGTTGTAGAATAATTTTACTGAGGTATCTTCTTTCTAGAAAAGAAAATATAACAAAGCTCGACTTTTTCAGTCATTAATTCCATATAGCGATGCCAAATTGCCAATTTTTCGAGCTACAGAATTGTCTTGACCACCTTTTTCTATTATCAAAGCAAGAAACTCCAAAACCGAAAAGTTTTTCAAAAATTTCCCGACTACCATAAGATCCGGAACTTTTTGTTCTGATTCCAGTTACCTGAACCCAAATTTTCATCCATTATAGAATTTTTGCAAGATTTCATAAACATTTTGTGTCCCTTACCGGGCTAACATCATGATGGGAGCTACCAACGTAACTTCCTAAATACATTAAATTTTATCGAAAAATCTTTTATTTAATATACAAATCTGCACTGCACGTTCTTATGGATGACAGCTAGCAACACCAAAACACACCACATGTGCCTCGAAGTGACTAGTGACACGTGTTTCGAATAACTCATCAGTGCGTATCTACATATGTATGCATGCAAGCTCAAAAACGCATTAGGTTATTCACTGAAACATAATTTCGACATTATTTATAACTGTAGTTGACGCTTTTCACACTGTCACCTATCATCAATATTTATGGTGACCAAAAAAAGATAGATAGGGATTAGAAAATAAGGTGCTTGCTATATAATTATAATAATTAATTCAGGTCACATATTTTAGACGCGCGTTTTTATGTTTAATTATTGTCGTTCGATGGCTACCAAATGCTAATGACCGATAGGAGATGTTTACGACTTTGGCTACTGATGCTCAGGCACAATCCAGAATTTGGTAACATGTGAGGAGGTGCAATCAGACAAAAATCGCGCCCGTGTGGAAATATTGTTCCTTTCATGACACTCCATCAACTATAACCTGGAAATAAAAGTGACAAAAG